AAACGAGAAGACAGGGAGGGATATCCTGGACCGACGTGAAGAATCTAGAAGACCTGGATTTCTCGCGTGTGGATGATTTATGTTTGATGTCACACAAAATCGAAGACTTAGAGGCAAGCGAAAACCGACAAACTGGTCGAAGAAGCAGCCGGCGAAGACAGGACTCCATCCAGGTGAACATAGACAAGATGGAGGTTATGAGAATAACCAACCAACCAAACAACAACAGCAGAAACATCCAGCGTCAATCACCATCAACGGGAGGGATCTGAAAGAGGTTACTTCATTCACTCACTTATCTAGGGAGGGAGCATCGCCTCAACTAGAGGCAGTCGGAACAGACGAGGATGTCAAATCGAGCAAGAATCAGGAAGGCGAGCGAGAAACACATTTACTCATCAACCTGAAACCAATCTGGAAACCTTCGTCACTCAGCCAGCATCAACAACAAAATCCAGTCGGATTTCCAATACAAACGTCAAGTCAGTCAATTCTTCTATACGGATCAGAAACTTGGCGGGCGCCTCACAAAGAATATTTCCAACAGCCTGTTGCATACCTTCATCAACTAACAACTGTCTTCGCTCTATACTGAAGATCAGATGTCCGGGCCGGAAAGAATCACCAACAAGGAACTATGGGAAGGAACAAACAAAACAAGAACCAATCGCCAACCAACAAATATGTAGGAGAATGTGCAGATGGATTGGACAGTAGCTGAAGAAGCCACTAAGTGACATCGCACTTGCGCCAGGCCATTGCTCGAGTGGAACACGAAAGGGAAGTGGTGGGTGGGACGTCAGTGCAAGGGTGACATGGAGGAGATCGTATGAAGAGGAGTTGAAACAGTATGGAAAAACTTGGATGTAGGTGAAAAATACAACAGAAGACAGAAGCAAGTGGAGACATGCAGTTGAAGCCCTGTGTCTTACTAGGAACCCAAGGAAAAATTAATAATAATAGTTGTTTAAGATCCTACAAAAAAGTTTGAGTTAAAAAAGATTGATAGGAAGTTATTAGGTATTTGACACTGTGGTGATGTTCTAGTTAGGCTAAGAACTTTCGTAGGCATGAAATGAACTCAACAAAAGTTGGTTTCATCTCTCATTAAAGAAAGAAACAGAATATCTAAAATCCTGTTCTTAAAGGCTTCTGAGTACTGACAGGTTAAAAACTGCTATATGACAACATTTCTACGCTTAATGCAGGTACTGGATTAGCCATCAATCTCGTATTGATGTTGTGTAATTTTATTCGGTTAGTTTTCATAAGAAACAACAACTATAATTCAATTGTGAGTGAAATTTATTTTTAATAAAGTCTCACAGTGTTATACAGTAATATTGACTGATGACGTTTCGAGCAGAATTCGCTACACATATTCACATCAGGTATGATATATTATGAGTTATACTCTACCACAATGTACAAATTCTATTGTTATCCCAATGACACAGATGGCATTCCTACTAGTCTGTCTGTTTTCGAATAGAACTTGCACAAATTGCGGAAGTTCAAGTCCCACATTCCGTGTAGCACGCAGCAAGAGAAGAAAGTACAAGAAAGCATAATAGAAACATGAGCAGAGGTGTGAGACAAAGGAGTAATAAAGAAAAACAAACAGTTTCATTGAAGATCATAATCAGCAATTGTTTCCAACATAGATTTTTACCGTCCCGAGGACCCAAGCGGAAGTCTACACCTCCTACGTGGCTTAGACCAACTGTTGTGGATTTCATTGATGATGCCAAGTTTTGTTTGACCGCCGCTAGCTTTTTCCAGCCTGACCCTATATCGCTAACATTGCTCGTCGAGGAGGCGATGGCTTGGCATACGTAACACATGTCCTACCATCTCAGTCTTTGTAACTTCATGACTTCGTCGATTGATTTCCCTGTTTACCTAGAACTCTACGCCTAACTCCGTGTTGCTACCTTATTATGCACTTTACACGGAAATAGAACGCAGGCACTATGATCAAAGACAGCTAGTCTTCATGTCTTCACTCTCAGTGGGGTCTACAACCATAAAGGAGGACGGAGCGGACCGATGAGCAGTACACCCGCCTTTGGTCGATAGTCGAACCTCTGTCTACGCCAGAGTGGCGTAATAACAAATGCGAAACGCCCCTGTATTCGTGCTGAGATTTCGTCAGAGATCAGCATTCCTACTTGGAAGCTTATAAACAAGAGCTACTTGAAAATAAACTGTTGCTGTATTTTGTGGTGTTTCACGGTTGCCTAACCAAAGCTGTACTTGACAGCATAAGTGTCATTGTCATCATGATTATGAAATACTTTGGTGTCCTTTTACAGAATTCTCTCAGTCTGCTGCATAACGCAATCACTATCTAACACAAATGGTGTTCATATGTGATCTAAAGCATATTTTTCACATAATATATCAAAAATCTTCATTTTAACCAATGGAAATCCGTCACTAAAGTGGTGAATGATGATCAGAGTATCAGTAATTGATTGTGGAAAGCAAATTCTGTGTAGATGTGATTTCCAGCATCGTCGTTTTTACATCACTATTTTATACCTAGCCGGTTGAAACTGTTTTATACTCCTTGTAGTGTTATTCTCTTTCCTTAATTCCGTGTTAAAATGAAGATCTACACTAATCATATCGACGGATTTTAACTTTTTCGAATGATGTTGGCTAAGTGATACTGTATCAGTATTTTGTCTGTTGATTGGTTCAACCGTTTTTAGATCTTTGTGCATATTTGATGTGATACTTTTATTATGACTGTCTAATTGAACTGTTAATCCGAGACAGCTAAAGCTCTCTGCTCAACGGTCTGTGCCCCTTTTTTCACTGCATGTCAGTGGTATCATGTTGTGGTGGTTGTCCTTGCAAATAGTGATTACAAACAATGTGTTCACAAATCTAATAGTTATGAAGTTGATTGGCGCAAAGCACTCATAACTACCAGGTTGCATTGAAGATTATATAAGAAGCAAGTAATCCAAATGGTTGTATTCTCACCAACATAACAACTTCGTCTTAATTAATGCTCAATACAGCTATCTTCCTTCAGTGTTTTCAAACTTTTCACTTGAAGCAGCAAATGATTAACTTGGATGTTCTTTTCCATTTCAGAGCATGCAGCAATGATATTCATCATAAGACTTCTAATTAATTAAGTTACTCATTTGTTGTCTGTTTTTCATATAGATATTAACCATATTTAAAAAATGTTTACCATTCTTCATCATGCATCTATTCCTTGGTGTAGGTACAGGCTGAATTTTGTTAGTCAGGTTCGCAATGTGGTCACTAAGGAAAGCGAATTTACTTGACGTTGGTCTGCTTCAAATGGTTCGATAAGTCTGTCCATTAGAGCCCTACAGATGGCCATTTGTAAACTCGAACACTTCAATGGTCACGCTTCTTACTGCAACACAGGGTGACAAGGGTTTGAACCACAGATAGGAGAAATATCGGTTCCTTAAATGCTACAGATATGCCTTGATGATGAGTGCAAATAAGCACGAAACCTAGGTCTAATGCTTCCTGCTAATCTCTTCCGACCAATCAACATATCTGAAGTTAATTAAATTGAATCAGAAATATTATTCTTGTTTCATTTAAAAATTTCCTTTATCAGAACAACTATCTAAACTGCTATTAATAATAGCATAACTATTACTGTCCATCTTATTCTGTCTGAAATTCATGATATATTGAATTCATTTCTCTAATAGATATTTGTTAATTTTATTGAAGTAATTGAATCTTGATGCATTATTATCTTAATTTTAAGCTCTCTTACTCCGTTCCCCAATCTATCTAAATTCGACCTAAAAGACATTCATACCTGTCATTTTGCATGATTGATTCAGTAAGGTTTATTTGATTGGACACTAGGCAGTACCTACTGTTATGTGTCTAGTCCTATCTTTGGTGCAGACTTAATTGTATCAGTCTATCACGAGCCCTAACAACTCAATGGTAACGTCTCTAACTGAAGCGCTGAGTGATACAGGTTCGAATGTCAGAAGGGAAATGATTTCCTTCAGGTATGTAGATAAGCCTTGCTGACAATTGCCAGCTAGCACGAAATCTAGTTCCAAGGCCTCGTAATTGCCACCAAACATCTCATACCAACAAGGTTTATTTGCCTATCATTCCTATATCTCCGAATTTAGTTTTAATGGTACATATATTTCCCTGTATGCAGAGTATCCAACTGAAGAGTTCTATCGAAATTTGATGAATTCATTACATTTTACGTTTTTAGATTTTGTGTCTGTTTTTAGTTAGAATTCATATGAATGCAGGGAAAAGCTTATTTATAATATAGAATACTATCTTGAAACGCATTCATGAACGCAGAGCTGGTATGCGCCATCAGTGTCTGTTACGAAACAAATGAACTCCGTGGTATTCATGTATATATATACATATATTTGAAACAGTTTCCTTTATGAATTTAGTTGGGCAAAACAATAAGAAGACGAAATTTGTCTGAATCCTATAATGTACTTTCGCAACACATTTCGAACAATCTGATCATGGACTTTTCAAACTTATGAGAAAATAAATTTAGTTCACCTCTTAAATATCACAAGTCTGTGTGTAATCAGATTGTTCGAAATGTGTTGCGCAAACACATCACAGGATTCAGACAAATTACACCCTATTGCTTTATCTCATTATATTTATACATACAATTGGTGCAAGATGACAGTGAATTTGGAATAATTTGATGTAGAAAAACCAGATTTATTTATAGATTTATTCTATGACAGACTTGATTCTGTCGTGATAACTGAATTTTGCATCGTCTACATTTTTGCCAGTTTCCCCCTAGTTGTCATATCAACTCTGTAATAGTATGTGATACTACCTACCATAGAAAAAACTTCAGGAATATTATTTAATTTCATACGCCTCTTTTAAAATTTCACAGAACATGCTGTAGGAAAAAGAATAGTATGCATATTCATGTACATAGTGAAGTTTAAATAGGTAATGCTATCTTAACTTACTTCTTCCATGTCGATCTGGTGATAATTCCTTGTGCGAAACAAGGAATAGTACAACTTGTGATTTGTCATTTTTAATCGGAACAATATCCAGTAGACAGAGAAATGCTTCACCTAACATAAACAAAACAGAAAACGAAGAAGGGAATGATAGTTTTTATGCAGGATTAAAATTAGTGAGGAAAAATAAACTGAATTTTACATAAGACAAAATTAGTTTTGCTTGTTTTATATTGGCAATTTATTTAGTTTATTTGATTTTCTTGATAATAATAATGATACTGGCAATGATTTCTCATTAGTCCTACTTCTTTATACGGATACACAGTGATATCAACTCAGGTACAGTAAACTCTACATCACTTGATGATTACCTATAGTACTTTTCATGGTCGGATGTGAGCTACGAAGCTCATTTATTAATAAATGAGAAAAATGCTTTTAATTATTGTTTTAAGCTTAAATGCTTCAGTTGAATATTCAAACCGATGAACTATCTCTCCTGCTGTATCTCATCCAGTTGTCGGTGCATTTATGTCGGACCTATGCAGATTTTTTGACGTCCAAGCTCCAATTGTTCATAGTGTGAATATGCTGTGCTTATCACTTTAGCATCCTTTTTTATTTTTACCTCAGTTAACTGATGCGATTCTTACCAGGAGTCATGTTCTCCATAGACTAAAATCAACGAATCCACTGATGACTTAGAGACCATTGATGGTAGTTAGTTGCTTTGTGCATGTTTTTGTGAAGGATTTTTAGTAACTGACGCCACTTTTTGATTTTCTTGACTAATAAAAGGCTTATATTGATGCATATTACAATAAATTTTTCATAATTCTTTCAGTGAAATCAGAAGGTATGTTGGTGGTGGTAAAGCCTAGAGGTGTCTTGTCTTCAGACTTCATTTAAGTTACGGAGACTAAACAAGCATAGCTGAGAGAAGATCGAGAAAGCCGTATTGATGTATTCATCTTGCTTGAGAGACTATTTAAATAGAGGTGATTCTTTTGTGAAAAACTGACAATATTTTGGTAAGAAGTTATATTTCAGGACTACCGAAGATTCCATTGTGTTTTCTCGATTTCAAGCCCTTCAGGATTTCAAATCTACCGCTTGAGAACTGCCCAATAACTTGGCAGAAGATTATAACTGTGAACGACTGAATTTATATGTTCATGAATTTGTGTTTAAGTCTATTGAACATGTTTATTTCTGGTAATTCGACTTTACATCAGTCCCTCTCTCATTTTGTTGTTCATATATGAGTTTATATTCATTGGATGGTTAGAAAAAATCGGTAGGGAGACTGAAATAAAGGTCTTATGCTTGTCTGCGCTGGTCAGTAAAGCGTATCTGCAATTCTGGAGGAAATTAAGTCATCCGGTGCTGCAGCCAGAGCAGTTACCACTGAGCTTTCCTAACAATAACTCAGAGTGAACTGTGATGACCAACCAACCGGAATAGTGGCCACCATGCATACATAACTGGCACCATTAAATCTTCATTAACATCAAGAGCTAGATGTATAACGTAGACTACTCGGTGTTCAAGCAAATTACATTCATTAAAGTGTTGATTTTCAAGGATTTGATTTGATTGAGCTGACACTAGTTAGAGAACCATTAGAAATCCTAGGAGTACTGGACAGCCGTTTTGTCTATATTTGAGACTCCTCTTCAGTACATACCCACCGAGGTTCGAACCCAGGACCTCCTGGTAACAAGGCGAGCTCGTAGTCCATTAAGCCACTGGAACTCGGTCCAATGGCCCGTGTATTCCAGCTTCCACCAATTCACGATATATCACCGGTGTGTATGTACTGCTCAGAAATGAATTGAGTGGTTGTCTATCACTCTCAGGTTTTCTAATGATTGTCTAACCGATGTGAAATCATGACGAAATCCTATATTCAATAAATTCACAATATTGGTATTATTCATACAACATTAATATTGTTACCACGCTTCCCTAGACCATTAGTTCTACGAATCACTGATATATTTATACTTTGGTCTTAAAACGTACTTTAATGTCGTTATGTTACCTGACCTAGGTAATTTAGTTACGAAGCTTTCACACTTCACTAAATTTAGCAATTCTAGCTGCTAACTTCATCCAACGTGAATAAAAACCTGAAATAGTTTCATAGATGGTGACTGGTCAACCTGTCAGCAAAGACCGAATATTTGGGTCTGATCTATCAACGAGAGAATCAAACGCCCCGGTCGATAACTGCTACCTTGTCGTGGTGGTCGGGCTTGAATACCTTAATGACCCGACATGCTAAACTGACTGGGACCTGTCCCTACAGGTCCTACCATATCAGAAAGGTTGTTTGGATAGCGGTTAAACTAAAAGAAGTTACCACGGGTACTTGGGCTCCAGTATCCAATAGCATCAAATGGCGTATGAACCCATATGGGTCACCGGAAACCATGGGAATGCAGCTCCTGACGCTGCTCCGCTGCCTTGCGGATTAGACTCCAAGTCAAAGGCTCGGGGGTGGTCCCTTAATAAAACCACCTGCTTCGGTCTGGGCGCCAGGGCAGTATCTCAGCCCTCACACAATGAAGTGAATAAAGCAACAAATAATCAATGAAACTTATCGCGTGCTATTACGCGTGTTGCAGTTTCCATCTTTCTTCCCTTCCCGATGATAGTTAACGAATACTGTTTGAACTTGTTAAGCATGACTGTTTTCCTTCCAGATGAAGTTCTTCATCCGTTCTCTACTTATATATATATTTTCTCTTTTTTTCTTTTGATCAATGTTGTAGTATTACTGTGTGGCGCATCCTTCTTGGTGCCATCTTGCACCAAGTTTTTATGCGTTAAAATAAATAAATAAATAAGGAATCGAACGCAAACTAGGCACAAATAGTAACTAGAAACTGTTTAAAATGGACAATTACACAGAACATTTACTTTAAGCTGTAGGTGTTACGTTTCGGTTTTATTTTTTTAAATATTTATCAAAACTACTAATTTGGGAGTAAAACTTCCTCTCATTATCTATAAATCAAATGAAGGAATTTTAGGGAATAACGCCTACTTCATCAGAGGGCCTAAATGAAATCCAAAATAAAAGAGACTAACCCGTGATTAATTCAGCAATGTTATCTTTCAAAAGTCATAATCATTTCTGAATTGTTTTCGCTGGTTAAATCTACTTTGCTGAAGTATCTACATTTAGAGTCCTTCACTTAGTACGTACGGGAAAAAACCTCCCTGTTTGTCTTTTACTTTTTCTTTACTTATCCTATTAATTAGTCTTTGTAAGCGCTTTTTCCACATAAATTGCTTTTCTTAATTATCGATGTGAGTTATGATAATGACGATGATGATGACGATGATTGAAAAAATGTAGATTAAGTGTTCACGAATCACAGTAGTTATGTTAGCTCTCCCTCTCTCTCTATCTGTGCTTTACTTTGACATAAATGCGCACGCAGAAATTCTACTTCAGCACCGACTCTGAGAAGTTTCGTGTTCGCGAATGATGGAGAGACAAAGATGTAGAGAAGAAAGTTAATTATTGTAGTTTTTCCTTCAAAAAATTGGATGAATAGAAGATAAGAAAAAGTGGTATTTATTCAAGTAACTTAGAGGATAATCTTTTTTTTCTTCGGATCACGAGTGTTTCACTTTCATTTTGATTTGCATGCTAGGCAGTAGAAGAAGTCACTGATATCACGAAAAAGGTAATGTATAACAGCCTGTAAGGTATTCGATCTGGTACGGCTCAGGGTAATTGGACTTAAGTCTTCCTGTCGAAATACTCTCATATCATTGCCGATTCATAGCCTCTACCGAGTGAATCTTATTCTTTGCCTTCACGAGGCGAAGGTGTTCGTCCCAAAAGTAAAAATAAGAATGTTTGGCCTTACAACAGTACTGCCAGTTATGCTGGTCTAGCCAAAGGAGTTGGAAAATCTTGATTAGAATACCATGGTGTACATAGGCTTCAAAATCCGAAAGAATCGAGTTGACTATGAACGTAATTCAGTCACTGGAAATTATGACACCATAGCTCCGAGGCTGACGCGACGTCTTTTGGATCAAAGTCCAAGTCAAGGGCTTCGGAAACGGGTGACGTATTAAGACAACTATCTTTTTCGGTATGAAAGTCTGGCAAGTATCTCAGTCGTCGCAAGAACTTTGAAATTTTATGTGTTGCATAACCATGTTGTGTTTTAATAAAATGATAATGTCAGGTATTGATGTGGGTGGGTTATAGGAGCTGTGTGTTTTTATGGAGAAGTGTTTACTGCATTCCTAGAAAACATCTTATAGCATACTACAGTTTAAAGTGAGCTTTTAAAAATCTACCAGTGTCATCGGCCTGAACTAGAAATTTCATCATATCTAAGCCAATAATGTCTAGTCCTGGAATAATCAAACTTATTTGAGGTACAACAAATTTAAATGTCTGTGTTCCTTATGTTCTTATTAGATATTGTTTAGCTTTGATAGCCATGAAGCTTCCAGAATGCATATCTTAGTTTATCTAAGTTTGATTGTTTTACTGGTGGCTAGCGGTATAATACAGGACTTCTCTGGTTTGGGACTTGTCAAGTTGATCCACTGGATCCCCAGTTAGTGATACTGTTCTGACTTACTCTTGAACCCAGTGATAATTGCTTCAGATGCAGAAGCGTTTTCCTCTAACTCATTGTTCCATGACAGCTTGCTTCGAGAACTCTTTATCAATAGTAACTGGCGATTTTAATTCATGTGATCACTCCTTCCTTATATCACTTGGTCATGACAATATTGTTAACTTTGCTACGCGTCTTGGAAAAACACTGGATCTAGTATTTATCAAAGATGTTGGTATATACGAAGCTCGCAAACGTGCTCCTTTACTTAACTCTGACCACTGCATCATACGTGTACTGCCTAAAATATATTCCAAATCACACAAAGATGTCCTCTCTCACCTCTACAGTAAAGTTCAACGGAGATGCTGCTCCCAAACAACCTAAACAAGCTAAGATGCATGTTGAAAGACACTAACTGGGACCTATTTACAGAACAAACATTAGATGACACAATCACCTCTTATACAGCAAAGGTGGTTTGAAAATATGTATTCATGTTTGTGACTTCCC